CATTGCAGATATGAATTCTGTCAGTTCGCTAAAATTTGGCTCCTTGTCGATCCACGGTCTCCGCTCACTTCTGTTGCAGGGAATGCGGCAATTTTTTAACTATTTTTTCCAACATGCCAAGCGAATTAAGATCAGCCGTGTAACCCATTTGTTCCAGGGCGATCATGCGGCTCTCTATTTAAATAGATAAACATGACAATACATCAGCTTCCACGCTATTCATGTTGAGACCCTCCAATAATCCATCTAAAAGTTAGCGCGCTACCTCGTGTGAGCGCCCAAATAGATCTTTAAGAATTGTACATGCCTTATCGTACCCAACCACGGGTGGCAACATGATGCAATCTTAAATTGCGCTCCTAGCCTTCCCCTTACAGTAATGAAGCAACTATAACAAGCGTTGCCAGTCGTCATTAGTCTTGGAGGCAACGTATATTTAAAATTGCCGAATGAACCTCCACTACATTGTGGGTCGCCCATCGAAAGACTTTGGGTAGGTCTAGATTCGCAGTAATGCGGACTGATGTGGACGTCGTCGTCTTATGTTTTCTCTCTAGCTCACTGAACCCTGCTGTCCTGGGAACAAAAGGATCACCCACCTCCCTAGAGTTCCATACTGAATGGTTTTCAACAAAATGCATCACTCGATCTTTTCCATCCTCACTCACGGTAGAACGGATGGACAACTTATCCTCCATTCTTTCTGCGAGCATTACAGTCTAATTCTTGTCGTACTGCTAGCAGTTCGCTTCTATGCCTTTCTTGGAGTTCTTTCATCTGATGCTTCATTTCATCTCGCAGATGGCATTCCTTCATTTCAATTAACGACACGCCAAGCTTCGACTTATCGCTCAGCCGACTAGACCCACTAACCCTAGAGCCATGAACAGAAAAACTATGCAAAGGGACTTGCCGAGATCCTCCAGTGTTGTAGTCGGATCCCCGCTGTTCGTCATCAACGTCCGTGTTCGGCATATTCATTCTCCAAGTGACGGGCAGATCAGAGTACTGTAACGACCAAAACGCGATTGTCCTTGTCCGAGCGAAATAAAAAAGATCTCGTCTGTATGCGTTCAATCAAATGATCCTTCGCTCGTTCTGGATAGCGATAAACAAATCTCAGAGCAACGCGTAGCCCAAATTATCGAGAACCAAGTCGATCCAAAAATAATCTACGGTACTATTTTCGCATTAATCACAAATACATAAGGCAGTGATACCTCTGATAGTGAGCCTGATTCACTATCCAGCCAAAATGTTACAAATATTCACAGAAAATATCTGCGGTAATAAAAGGTAAATAAGAAAATGAGTCATTTGGACTACCTTTCAGATAATTCTGGATCAATAGAAAAATTCTGCA